GTTATCCCCACCCCCTCCGGATCCAAGAACTTACTATTCCTAGGTATAACGTCAGGAACAAGCGGAAAATCGATCCGGAAATTCCTCAGTGACGTGAAAGAAATTAATTTTCTGAAATGAAAGAATTATTTTCAGAACTTTAATTATCCATTGCACAAACAATATGAACCTCAGCAATCAAAAATGAAAAGCACTGAAAAAATTCTTCAGCTGTAAAAATGAAATTTAACAACAAGTCAGTTACTCATGAAGAAGAAAGATACAATGAATATTTGAGAAAATATCTTCAAGGTGTACGGAAAAGCAATCATTCCATCAAACTGATGGTTAATGAATGAGTAAAAATTCATCGGAGTGATGAAAGTAAATCCGAATTATCGAGGGTTTTGAAATGCGACAGGTGCATAAATTCATTCCACTTTTCAAGCACTCCATTCATTAAGATCATAAGAAATATTGTCGTTCATTGGTTGAAGAAACATTCATAAACTATTGAAGAATTAGAAATTGTCAATGCGTATCACATGGTACATATTTGTCATAAAAAGATGCCTAGGACACAATTGAGCACTTCATTTACAAAAATTCATTTACGAACCAAAAATTCCTTTATAAACAGTAATTAAAAATTTACCAAAACTTTTTAGTGGAATCAAATAATAATAATGGATGAATTCAGAAATACTCGCACATACCACACTAAACCAATGATCTTTTCTGTCGTACCAAAGAGCTCAATCAATTCTTATTGCTCATGAGGGACGATGTCAGCCAGTATATTAAAGAACTTACGAAATAATTATGACTACTTTAGACTGACTTGTGTTCAGGCCTACGCGAGCTAGAGATACTCAGAAAATAAGATAAAGAAGTGTTTCCATGAGCGAGCCGCGTTTAGATATCCGAGTGAAAAATACACCATCACGATGGCGTTTCATCAAAACAAGACAACACCAAGTATTAGTTTCTCTCAGTGTTTATGAGAGACGATGTCAGCCAATATATTAAAGAACTTACTAAACATTTGTGACTAAACAAACTTTTGTTTAGGCCCAGACGAGCTAATGATACTCAGGAAATAGGAGAAAGAAGAGTGTTGCCATGAACTAACCGCATTTACATACCCAAGTAAAGAAACGAAAAAACATCACAATAACGTTCTATCATAACATAACAACTGCACGAAATACTAATTTCCCGATCTCTTCCGTTACCCCCCTCAACACCTTCAAATTACCCAAAATGAGTAATTTCACCCCCTATGAAAACCACTTATGTAATAGTATAAACGAATGGAGATGTAAAATGCTCTCATCACCATTTCAGATCGCCACCACCTATTGGAGCAGTGGCAGAATGCTCGCAGATGAGGGAACGAGCGTCAGAGACGAACGCAGTGAATGATAATGGGTTATCAGCGGAACTGCATCATAAATCATCATCAAATTGTAATAATAATACGACGTTGTCTTTGCGTGACAGACTTGCTGCACTCAGTCCAATGACAGCACAACTGCAGATCGAACTCAAGCGACGAGTTGGTTTTGTTTTTCATTAATTAATATGCTCAACTAAATGGTGTATCGCTAGATGGTTAGTTCATAATAGTTTCATATGCTCTATTATCTAGCAATATATACGGTATGCAGGGGACAATTGTGCTGTAAATACGACTCGGTGTTTTGTGCTTTAGTTACACTTGTTTATCGAGTAAACCTAGTATCCAACCGACTACACTACAACGCAGTAATAATACTGTTATCATTATTGTTTGTTATCGTCAAGAGCGTATCGATAAGTGATACGATTATAAGTTTATTGATCTGTTTTTGTGAATTGAGAATACCAACCGGAATCATGGCTTCTCATTCAAACATTTTTGTGTGGAGACATGTTTGTTGTGATATAATTCATAATTTATTGAGCCTTTTAATTAAAATAACATGTTGCAGTAGCAGTGATCATTATTTTAGGTGCTAGGTGAGGAAATAAAACCCAGCATCTCATCGCCACCACCACCAGCATCAATATGCTCGTCATCGTCGTCAGGAACAGGTGTTGGGTTACGAAGTACGGCAGTGATCGAAGAGCCACCACCGGATTTGGTACGGTCATTACCGTATGATCATCACCATTCTCACAGTAATCATCATAGTAATAGCGGTACAGCAACCAAAAGTAATCAGCAACGAGAGAATGCAAAAGGAGAAACGGAGTATTCGTATCAGCAAAAGGGCAATAATGAAGAAATGAATGATAGAAACAACGTATTAGTTGTGGATTGCAAACAGTTAGTTGCACTCGATTATTCATCTTCAAGCGCACCTTTACGAATGTCAGCGAGCGACACAGATGCATCGCCTTCATTCACAGCTCATCCTTCATCCATCACCACTAATACTACCACCACCACCCCGTCACCCGGTTCAGCTTGATTTTATTGCTTTAATTTATTGTGTTGCATTCGAATACCAAGTTAAGATTGACGTTCAAATTGTACGAAGGATTTTGATTTGTTTCGTTTAATTTTTGATTGGGCTAGATTTGATTTGATTTGCGATAAAAGGACCATTCAACTTTCCGGTTAGCAAATGTTATTTAGTTAAGTGTTGACTGAATATGTTGTGCTTGGTAGATTCATAAATATATTGATTGAATTAAATGATTTGTCGTATTCAACGCGAATGTGAGTTTTGATCGTTGTTATCATATTATTGCTTTCTGTTTGTTTATTCGTTTGTTATCTTGTTTTATGCTCTTATCGATTACGGAACTGATTAAGTGAAGCCAAATATATCCTTTTTTCATTGGAAATTGTTCTCTGAAGTTTACATTCTTCGTTTATGCTCTCTTTCAAATTATGAGTATTATTTATTTATCTGCATAATGCTTTCGTTAATCTATTGCTTGTTATAACAGTGATAATAATAGCAGTAGTGATGATGTTGATGATTGTCTTCTGTTAATAATCTTAATGTCGTCTTGCTGATGGTGATGGCATTAGTGCTGATGGTAGTGATAGTGAAAGCATGCGAAGAGGTCAAACATAAACGCGTAAGCATAAGCTTATCCAAGAAGATGCTTGTGAATCTTGCTGTTCACTGATTTCATTCCGATTCACAGAACATAACCATAATCATATCAGTATATGCCTTTTATCCTAATGCAACGCGTATGTTGTTGTTTAATAGCAATTCCTCTGCGTCTCACTCAAACGTACGGAGAATCGGTTCTTACACTTTGGTTGAGACTTGCAGGGGATGTTTTGCAAACTCCGAGACGTCTAAGTGTTGGATGAGGCACATTGGGCTGATGTA